TTTTTTTTTTTTAAAGCTATATTCTTCTCTCAATTCCTTTTTTTTTTTTTGAAAAGGGCGACGGCCTTGAGATATCATCATTAAGCTGACAGGCCCCAGGTAATTCAGAGATATTTCGTTTTTACAACTTTTACTCATCAACTTCCATCATCTGGATTCGAACATGGGTCTGTATTTTCAACAGTTCATGGGTGTACCCACTGAGCTAGGCTCTTGGGTTCTTCTCTCAATTTCACCTCACACTACCTACCTACCTACCACTACTCCTAATTGTAGGCATACGGGGAACCCCGTAGCAGCTAGAACCGTGTTCACGAGAGAACATGCGGGGGCTACTCCCGACCTGCAGGTGGGCGATACCGGCTAGGGTATAGCCGGTAGCATCAGGGACCATGCCAACAGGACCAATCCCTGTGCCTCCTCTCAGGTCCCCTCCCCTATGAACATCAGCAGACTCTGCTAAATGCCAATCGGGGGATCCAGTGGTGAAGGGTCCACAGAATAGTAACCATGAAGGTTTTTTTTTTTTTTTTTGCTGGCTTTATTTTGCGGTTTCGGGTCGGTTGCTTTTGGGTTGGATCTTCGGCTGTGCCAAGTGTGGTTGGGCAATGTCCCACTAACCTAAGCTGGGTAATGGTCCAAGTATTTTCTGTGTTGTTTGTGGGCGTGCCAACTGGAGCAAACCCGAAGGTGCGTTATTTCGATTCTTTACAAAGCAGACCTATATCGCGGACAACCTAAAACAGCGGAGTCAAAAAAAACAAAACAAAACAGCGGAGTCTCCTAGCTAGAAGCTTTGTGCTGGTGCGCTAAGGCTCGGGAAACTAAATACGGTGGGAGCCCTGGAAATGAGCGTGTGGGCGCTTGAAGGGCCGGAAGCCACCCAGGCGGAATGAGGAGGGGAGCGGCGCAAGCGGGCGCAAGCGGGAGGAAGATGGCATCTGGTTATGAAGAGCAACGTGCGGGAGAGGGAGGCGATGGTTGCAGTGCTGGCCGATGGCTATTTACAGTGAAGACACCAAGCGGAGAGGGAGTGGCGCGCTGCCGACGGGCATGCCAGAGCGAAGTCGCCATCGAGAGCAGAATTGACCTAATAGCGCGATGGTGGGAGAAGGGAGGGGGCAACAACGTGAGTCGAAGGGAAGGTATCGAGTGATTTTAATAATTAAAAGGAAAACTAGAATCGAGTACTTGTCCTTGGGTGGCTATAGACCCCACCAATCAATCCTCGCAAGGTAGCGAACTTGCTGTACGCTTATCACAGCCATCTTCAACACCGGTCCTGCTCTTCGCCTCGAATGCTTATCGCGGATGAGGAGTTGGATGTCGCCGTTCATCCTCCTTGATGCGATGCGTGCAATATCTACGCTCCTGTCTCCCAGTCAATAGGAAATAGGACAAGACTTATGACGTACTGAGGGCATCCTCAGATTCTGCATACCGCCCAGTCGTTCTCGAGGCGTGGAGAGCGTTCGGGCAAGGGGGGGAGAGAGAGGGGTGGCGGGGTGGGCGAGGACCGGGGAACAGGACAGTCGTACCGGCACACAGGCAAGCAGAGCGTGTGTGCGGTGTGGGTC